TCTAAAGCTACCTGAGGAGCCTGTATGTCCTGGTGGGGTGGACTGTCTTGGAAATACCTAAAAACATCTGCAATGTTGTAGATCTTAAAAAATATCTGAGGTCCAACAGGTGATATTCAAAACTGAGCTCTGGATTAGCCCAAGGCATTACTGATGAGGAAACCAATCCTTAAAAATGAAGAAAGAATGTTTTAGTTTCTTAACAAACAACTGACAAATCTGGGTATCTTTCACCTTTATGGACAGAAAAAAACACCCGAGACAATGGTCTGAGATGATCTACTCCCTTCCACAACTAACCTGTTTGCTAATCTCTAGGTGTGTTAGTTAAACTCACTGTGGTTTACTGTCATTTTCAGTGTAATAGCATAAAAACCAAACCAAACCAAAACTCTTCCTCTGTCTGTGATTGCATTTATCTCCCAAGAGCTATGAATAAAAGTTTGCATTCTAATTTTTCAGCAGAAGAATGGGAGTCCCAGGGAGGAACTGGTACTTTCCTCCCAAGCAGCAGGGGTGAGACTTTCTGTGTGCAGAGCAGGAGAGCAAGTTCCCAAGGCTGTGCCCTGTGCAAAAGCTGTAGACATGCTGGAAGCACAAACTGCTGCACAGAAGGAAAATATTCAAGCAACCAATCTACTGGAGGATTCCCAAGGCCAGTCACCCATCCTTTGTTTTAGAACCACAGACTTTTGGCCTTCCCACCAAACTGCACATCTGTTAAAAAGCATGGACCATCAATCTCCCTGTCCCAGCCCACCCCAGACTTCAGCAAGCCTCATGTGTCACTAACTTTGCAGTGAGCCTGAACACTTGCTTTTCTCCTTTCATTTATGCTTCTCTGCATTTAGTTTGCTTTGGCTATGAGGGAAAACACATAAAGTTCCCTGACACTGTGACATGATAACCTGTGAGCCATTAACTTCAATGGTTTGCCTAATTGCTCAGGACCCAGCCCTGTGACCCTTAAGGCAGAAAGGGACATTCCAGAGCCTAAACTCAGACTGTAACCACACTGCAAGGATTACTGTCAGGAGGGCTTTGGCCAAAGGGTGTGAAGAGGCTGTGGAGGACTCTGTCTCCAGCTAAATCAGCCCCAAAAACTTCAGGAGACATATCTAGCAGCTTTGGCACTGCACTGCTAGAGCTCTTAGAGTGCTCTTCCTCCACCCAAATCCATGCTGCTCTCCTAGCTGGTGTGCAGCTTCTTTCACTGTGCAAAGATTCCTCCCAACATGGTCAAATCACAGTACTTAAATCTCTGTCTCCCTCTCATGGTTAGAACACAAATAGAATTGTTCAGCTAGTCAGGGAATAAAATCTGGTTTATTGTCGACCCCTCTGGGATACTATGCTAAACTCTGCTTGGTAACTCCAGTGGTGCCCTGTGGAAAGATCAGAAGCTTAAGAGAGGCTCTTGCATCTCAGGCAGAGTTAGCCACAACCTGGACCTCCATCTGAGCACCTCGTGCCTTAAAGCATTCAGCATGAAAAAGGAAAGTGATGTATTTACGATGTTAGCTGCAGTAGCCAAGTTGCTGTCACCCACACTTAAACAAAGCTATGTTGTCTTCACAGCTCTTCAAGCAGAAATGGGAAAGATGGGCCAGAGCATGATCACATTCTAATGCAAATGACATGCTAAGTAAAAAGGGCAACAAGTACTGAATCGGAACATCTCAAATTCTTGCAAGCAGCCAGATCTTTTACAGCATGTTGAGATGGTTTTTCTCCTTACCTTTTAGAAGTGGGGGCATATCTGGAACAAGAGTTTCCATCCCAGGCACAGTATGGGTCTCTGGCAAGGCAGCAGTCTGCACAAGCCTTCCCATACGTGTGACATCTGTGCAGAGAGAGCTGAACCAATCCATCCCTGGAACCAATGTACAATTGTTGCTGCAAATCAGGCAAAGCAAATTAATTAGGAGTGTTCTCCAAGTAGCTCATTTAAAAAGATCCCTTCTTCAGGGCCACAGTTGTAGACTTTCAACCTAATCCCACATTTTAGAAAACAAGGGGGAATTACTGTGAAATGTTTCTCAGGGCTCAGTGGGAATTGGCTAGTCCTCATCCAGCAGAGAGGAGAGGGGACTGCAGTCCTGTAAAGACACCAGCACCCAACACCCTTACACCTTTAGATTTGTACTGCAATAAGAAAAATCAGAAGCAAACCATGGAAAGAATGGTTTAATAACACATTTGGGGCTGGATAGCCATGACATTAAGAATTTGGGAACTAGGGGTGACCTTGTGGGAATAAAACTTCACCTTCTGCTTCTGCTCCATAGGTAGGATGGGGATAATGTTACTCCCCTCTCCCCACCACGTGAGTGGATTGCCTGTTGACACAAGGGTGGTCCAAGCTGGAACTGGCTCATGCAGCACTTCCAGCTGTCCTGCCACCTTTTTTTAGGGGAGATGGGACCCAGCTGTGCTGTGCGTGCCTGAATGGCAAAATACTTCCCCGGTGCGAGGGAGGAGTGTGGGGCCAGAGCTGCTCTGGCCACTCTGTGGGACAGGGAGGGATGGCTCTGGTGTCACGCTGCCTCCTGAGCATGCATGGAGCTGTCAGAGAGCTTGGAGCTGCCAGAAAACCATTTCCCATCAGGAGCTTCTCAGCTGGGACTCACCCTGCACTGCCAGGGTTGGACCACCCAGATTTAGGCTGCACTGTTAGAGGGAAAGGGCTGGTTGTGTGCACACAACTTCTAGCACAATGAGGCCCTGATGTCTCTCGACTACTAATAAAAATAAAAACAATAATAGCAGTAATAATTTATTGCTAGATTGTAAAGAGACAAGTATTTCAAGAGGCCAGGAAAAGAACGTGCATTGACTTCACTTCCAAGTCCCACAACCATATGACTAAAGATTTGTTGCCCTGAATAATTACCAGCTTGGGTACACAAATTACTGTTTGTAAGCAAACATGAGTTAGGCAGGCAAACGAGTTCAAACATAGCCCATTCCTTCCAGCTACATTTTAAGAGCCATCCATGGAAAGCTTGGCCAGGAAGTAACAGGCATCACCTGAAAATAAGTGTTCAGTGTACCACATATCCCCCAGCAATTGATTAGCTTGTGATTACCTGTTTCTGAGAAATCTCCATGGTCGAGATAAACGAAGGATGCTGAAAAATCAATTAGTGAGGCATATTAGTTTACATACTCCCTGTTCTTAGTGAAAAAAGAGAGCAGAACTTCACAGACAAAAAGGAAATAAAACTACAGATTCCCTTGCTGGGTTTAAACAACTACAAAGAAGGAAAAAAAAACAACCCAGAAAATCACAAAGTTCATGCTTCCAAAAACAACTCCCATAAATTTCCCCTGCTGAAGGAGGGAACTGGCTTTCATTCTCAGAGTTTGCTATCTACCCCATCCTGGGCCTTGACATCAACTTTAGTTCTTGTTAAGCACTATTTGAAAGGCTTAGATGTCATTTCAGGGATACTCAGGCAGATCCTCTGCACCAGGATATGTTTCCCTGCTGGAAGAGACAGGGAAATGTTTACTAGTGACTGATGTAGGAACAGCACAAAGCTCAGGGTATTATCTACTGCCTAATGGAAGTTGATTAATCTAAGCCTATTGTTTGATATTAATGCAGTTTGAGGAAATAAGTCACTTTTCTTCTTTAGCCATTTACCTCCTTCAATTTTCTGGATTCAAAAAAATAGAGGAAACAGGTCTAAATGTTTCAAATCAAACGTGAAGGAATGTTTGCTGAGTAGGAAGAAAATAACCTCTTTTTTGTTTTAAATATGATATGGCACATTTTCCCCGATGTTATGTCTTAAGAATGCAGCAAATTGGTGCATGTCCTGAAACTGCTGATTACTTGACAGGCCACTGAGCAACTGTGGGATTTTCTGAGTTATATTTATAATTGGTGTCCAAGACAGTGGGAAGAAGACATAGAGATGCTTTAAAGTTTCATCATACACATGACATATCAAAAGGCATATGGAGAAATGCACTCTTTGAAAGAGAATCATGGAATCATCAGGGTTGGAGGAGACCTCTAAGATCATCCAGTCCAACCATGAACCTGTCACTGCTGGAACCCCCAAACCCTAACCCAGATCCTCCAGTGCCACATCAGACACCTCTGAAACACCTCCAGGGATGGTGACTGCACCACCTCCCTGGGCAATATCCCAGTGCTGAACACCACAACAGGGAAAACATTTCTCCTTACATCCAATCTGAATCTCAAAGAATTGTTAATGATCCTGTCCTTGCACTTGGAAAAGTCCTTCGGCCCAATTTCATTTATTCATTATGGACAAAAATTTGGGCTAAGACCCCATAGAGCACATAGGAGGGAGGATGTGTGAGAAGGAGCCAAAATGCCAGGGATGCAGACAAACTTTGATGGCAAAGCAAGGTGAAAATTGAAGAAGAGCTACAGAGCATGAGAAGAAAGTGAAGTGAGAATGCAAAGAATGAAGAAGAAGCTACTAAATGGAGAAGAAAATCAGTATGGAAGACAAAGGTCTTCCTATTTCTGATGTAACAGGATGTTGCCATCAGCTCTCTCACCATTACTGAAGTAAATCAGAAATTGTGCCTGTGCAACAGGAAGGAGTTGAGGCTATTTACAAGCTCCACTTATGGAGAAATCATTGGTGTTATAAGGGCTCCAGTTACTTCTCCTCTTTAGCACTCAGACAGAATAGCCAAAGCAAAATGGTCAAAAGCATTGAGTCAGCGTCCACCAGGAAATTAAAGCACATTGGGCATCAAAACTAATTTGCTTATATTTTCCTTATGTTTTCCAT